CTGAAGGTGTAACCCTGTGACGACCGCTGCGTAGCCTGGTCGTCAACCCAAGAAGCGTCTGAGTGCCCAGTGAGGACAACGTCGCTCCGTCCTCCAAGCACAAGCCCCGATGTACTGCACAAGTAGCGTAGTACCCTCTTAGCAGCATCCATGTGCACCTTTCGGTGCCGACCAGGAGCCACGTAGCGAGCCAGAAGGCCAAGAGGGTACGCAAGGTCAGGACGAGTGCAGGTCATCAGGTACATGAGGCAGCCCACTAGCTCTGGGTAAGGACCACTCGGCTCTACGGACTCGTCCGAAGGTGGAGCTGAGAGCGAGTGACATGTAGCCAGAGGAGTGGCCTGTGCCGAGGACCAGGTGAAGCCGAAGCGCTGAAGGACCTGCTGCACCATGTGTGACTGAGTCAGTGTGATGGTGCGGCGGGTGATCCGCAAGCCAAGATAGCTTGTCAGCTCACCCAGGTCTGTGCACGTGTGTCTCTTCTGCAGCTCCGACTTCACCAGGGCAAGAGCCTCAGTGTCAGCAGTGGCAAAGACCAAGTCGTCAACGTACACGAGGATGTAGAACGGCGGCAGCGAAGTGTCGGTGCGCAGAAACAGCGACGGGTCAGCAGTCGACGGAGCAAACCCAAGAGCCGCAAGTGTCGTCCTCAGTGTGTCGTGCCACTCACGTGGCGCCTGGCGGAGACCGTAGACCGGCCGCCTGAGGCTCCACTGGGTACCAGGAGGGAACGACCCAGTGAAGCCAGGTGGGCGGCGCAGCCAGATCTCCTCGTGCAGGCTGCCCTGTAAGAAGGCTGTGCTAAAGTCAAGAGAGTGAAGCTCGTAGTCACGCTGAGCGGCAACGTGCAGCAGCACCCGAAGAGTGGTCATCTTCGGGGTGGGGGAGAAGGTCTGGAAGAAGTCTACTCCCTCTCGCTGACTAAAACCTCGTGCAACGTAACGCGCCTTGAAGGCAGGCGGAGAATCTGGCGGCCGCTTCACCCTGAAAATCCACATGCCACTGACGATGTTCGCCCCAGGTGGGGGAACCTCGTCGACGTAGGTGCCTGTGGACTTCCAAGATGCCATCTCTGCGTCCATGGCTGTCTGCCACTGAGAGGAGTACTCACCCGCGATCGCCTCAGCGTAAGAGCGCGGGGTCGAGATGTCTGGAGCATCCGGGTCTCCCTCAGGGGTAAGCAGCATGGACACGAGATGAGGCGCAGCGGCTGCAAGACACTCAAGGTCCTCCTGCCTGTCCTCAAGGACGTCCGTGCCAAGAGCACACTCACCCCCGACGGACGGAGGACAGACAAACTCAGACTCAGCAACAAGACTAGCGGCGTAGTCTAGACGACAGGCAGCAGCAAAGTCAACAAGCTCAGCAACTAAGGCAGACGTAGCAGCAGACTCAAACGACGGGTCAGTGACAACAGTGGCTAGCAGACGCGTGACAGTAGGGTGCTCAGCACGAAACCGGTCAGACTCGGGGTCCGCAACGACAGGCAGAGAAGACGCAGGAGGGGACGGCAGAGGAACACGCTGTGGAGGAGAGGAAGGACGAAGGACTACGAGGTGGGTGTCGGGGACAGCCGGCAGACGCGAACGAGGAACACGACGACCGGAACGACCAGAACAGACAGGCGAGACAGGACGCGACGCAGGCTCACGACGCTCAGTAAGACTCCCTAGCTGCTCAGTGTAAGGAGAAGGAGCAGGCAGCGGTGAGCCAGGCTCAGCGGTGCAGCAGCAGTCTAGCAGTAGTAGTAGCCCGGGCAGGGCAGGCGCGGCAGGCAGGCAGGTAAGTGCTCACCAGTGGCGAGAAGGGCAGGCTCACAACGGCGGCGACGGCGGGGCTGCGACAGTTGCGGCAGAGCAGGACCGCGTCGGAGGAAGGGCAGGTCCGCGACAGCTGCTGCAGGGCGGGGACGTGACGGCGGCAGAAGGCTCCGCGGCAGCTGCTGCAGGGCAGGGCCCGACGGCGGCAGGAGGCTCCGCGGCAGCTGCTGCAGGGCGGGGCCGCGACCGCGGCAGAAGGCTCCGCGGTAGCTGCTGCAGGGCGGGGCCGCGACTGCGGCAGGGCGCTCATCAGCGTGACATGGCCGTCGGTGCTCCCCCTCGTCCGCGTCATTCCAGCCCTTCCTCCGTCATGTCGAATCTTTCTTCCATCTGTCGACAATCTCAAGGCCGCTTCAGCCGCACACTTCCCTGTCACCTGAATCCTGATGCGTTTCTACCTTATTTTCCTCTTCCGTGGGCGTTTATTATTATTTCCCAGCACCATTCGCTCGTCCATCTGTGTCCTCTTCTAGCAGCCTAGCACGTCGCGGGGTGTTTTCTCTCGCCAGGATCTCTCTTAAGTGAGGCCTATTTCAGAGCCTTCACCTATTTCTCTCTCCGCGGTAGCTGCTGCAGGAGCGACGGCGGCGTCCAGGGGCAGCCGCGGCGCGCGGGGCTGCAGCGCGCCACGCGAGCCGCAAACGCGGCGCGCGAAGCCGCCGCGGGCTGCGCGAGGACGGCAGCCGCGGCGCGCGGGGCTGCAGCGCGACGCGCGGGCAGCGAAAGCGACGCGCGGCGCTGCAGCGCGACGCGCGGGCAGCGGACGCGACGCGCGGGGCTGCAGCGCGACGCGCGGGCTGTGGGCGCGACGCGCGGGGCAGCGACCTGGCGGGGCAGCGCCCTGGCCTGACGGGCCTGCAGGGGCGGCGCGCAGGCCTGACGTGTCTGCAGGCGCGGCGCGTGAGCCTTACGGGCCTGCAGGGGCGGCGCTCTGGCCTAGGGCAGCAGTGGGCAGCACGAGGGCTGCAGGACGGCGCGCGCAGCGCAGCACGTCACAAGGCAAGGCAGGCAGGCAGGACAACACGTGGGGTAACACGGTAACCGCAACGGTAGGTGGGCCCGAAAAAAAAAAACGGTCCTACGGACCTAGTGCTCTGAAACCATGTCAAAATAAAGCAGCAGGAATGAATGAACTATGAATGAGTTGGGTACAAGTATGAAACCCTAAAAGGGGCTGTACCCCATATTGGCTACCCCACTACAGCCTACACATATATAACATGCATATACTTTGACAGCACATTGCTCTTCGTTACTTCCTCTCGCGAGAGTTGCAGCAGCGTGGTCAGCTTCGCCTTTCGTACGTGGCCTCCCAGGCCAACACTGCTGATGTCTTCACCAAGGCCCTCGGGTTTGGTGATCATCAGCGTTTCTGCACTGCTCTTGGGTTTGTGGCCACCCTGCCCCACCTGCTTGTCTCTTGATCTTGCCTTGCACTTGTTGTTCTCTGATATATATACTTGTACCTGCATGTTCATACTTGCTAGGTTGTGATCAGTGTACTGCCATTGCTTTTATAAACTCTGCATGTGAACTGGCCTTGTGGCCTCTTGCTTGTGCTCGGACTGCGTGGTGATCTTGAGATCCACCCTGAGCTTTGCTTTGTTTGCTTCTCTTGACTGGTCTTGTGACCACTTGTTGTCCCCCACTTCGCCTATGGGGGTGTGTCAAAACTTGTTTATATGTTGTTAGTTCTGTTAGGTTGCAGTGAGGTACCTAGTACAAAGTATAACATTAGGTTGCAGTGAGGTACCTAGTACAAAGTATAACACTTTACTCTCGACATTCATACTTGTACCCTTGCTCCTACTAGTGACATCATTCCTGCACACTGTTTCTAACAGCAATAACAAAAAGCGAATATCGTGGCTAAAAGGAACGCCGACCGCCACCGCCGCCCCGTCACGTACCAATCAGGAGATTACATTCTGCTCGACACTTAGAACTTACGCCTGCCCAAACTTCGTCCGCGCTACTGTGGCCTGTTTCAGATAAGCCTCATGATTACGCCAGTCACCGCGCATCTCCGGTTCCCCGCCGACAGGTACATCAGCCCGTCGTTCCACGTCAGCCTCCTTCCACCATACGTCCCGACCACGAGCCAATTGCCACAACATCGCCCGCCATTGATGACGCGTCCTGCATCGGAGCCCATCATCGACCCTGAGAAAATCCCGAGCCATCGGATTCGCCACCCCATGGGAGCCTGGAGGGATTGAATTCCTCGTCCGCTGGAAGGATCGCACCCCTAGGGAAGATAGTTGGGTGCCCCTGGGCAACATTGAAAACCACCTTGTCTTCCAAGTGTGCCGTGGATTCCGCGATATATACGCACTCTCGTAGTGGAGGGGCTTCTTGAGGAGGGGGGTAGTGTAAGGATTTTTTCAGCATTCCTTACCGCGCATCTCACCACCAGGACCAACCGCTTCGTCGCCCGTTACTACTAACGGTGTTTCACCGCCTTCGCGCGTCACATTTCCCAAACCATGCATCGCTGAACTGGCCAGAGTCGGCCTACGCTTCGGGACTAGCTAGCTCGCACGGACCGCGTTACCGTTTGCATGTTTCGCTGTAAATGTTCGCTCATGCCTTCGCTCACATTTGTACTCGTTTGACAACTTAGTGCAATCCTTTTTTTTCTCTCTACATTGCACCTGTAACATTGCCTGATGTATCTGTACCCGTTATCATTTCGCATTTGCAGCCTCCAATCCCTCACGCACCCTCGCCTCGGCATGCCAATTGGCATGCTGTATGCGCTGCGTACGCCTGCTTGTGCTTGGAGTCGCATTCGCTTGCAGCCGAGCCGCGAGTCCTGAACGGAAGGGAGAACAGTAACGTTTTGGAAGGCGGGAGGGGGGCTGCAAGGCCAATTTACAGAATGCCACAGCGAAGCGATGCTGACGAAAACCCATCGCTGCGAAAAGCCATTGTTGCGAAAGGCCATCCCAGCTCCTCTAAAGCACCAGCCGATCCCTGGGAACCCAACCACAACAGCAACTCGACTGCACCGAAATTTTCCTATCCGTTGAGCCGCCATCCTCGTCTCTCTACTGACCAGTAGAGTTTTGTGATAACACCCAGCGCTGTGGCCAGACCCTCGTGAGCGTCAGACGGATATCATAGCTATAGCGCCTGGCCACCATTTCCGACAACAGTGTACCATCGTGTGAGATAGGCATGGGTACTATTCGACAACCTGCAACGCTCACAGTGGTCGTTTCGTTAGCTCTTGTGGCCGCCATTCTCGCGACACCAGCAGCGGCTCACAACTTCTGCTTCTACGAGTGCTCCGTCTTCGCCAACGCGCCGTCGGACTGCCTTCGCACGTGGTACATCTACAGCGAAACAGACTTCTGCGACTCCGATCACAAATTCGACAGCGTGTTGCGAGTCACAGACCTCGACGGGTTACCCTCTTTCGCTAACTCCTCAGAGTGCGAAGGATTGAGCAGCGCGCAGGTGTACGGTCAACTGGCGAACACCACGCAGCACGGAGATGGAACCCTGGAGGTGCTCGGCGAGAAGGACTATAACGAGGCAGCGTACGACGAGTACGTGGGGTGGATGGGCGCGGGGCGAGAGCAGTCCAAGTGCATCAAGTGGTCGCCCGGCGCGGAGACCTACGGCAGCTGGGTGAGCGACGACGCGGGCGTGCCGGTGTACCTGTCGTGCTGGGAGCGCCTTTCGTGCTCCAACGCCTTCGGCTTCGACGTCTCCGCCGCCGACGGGGACGCCGCGCCCCCGCAGTCGCCGCAGAAGATGCTGCGCGGACGAGGAAAGACGGACGGCAAGGCTGCCGTTGGATAGACGCGCCGTGGCCCATGAAGCGATGCGGTAAGCAGGCAGCTCAACAGGCGGTGGGCGCTGCAGTGCCTTCCGCGCCAGCTGGCAGTGGGGCCGTGAGGAATCGCCTGGGAGCCGCCCAGGCGAGCGCTCGGGGCGAGTACAGCGACGTCGAGTGCACACATCAACTGCGCCAGTGCCGGAATAGGCGTGGCTATTGTCAAATAGTTTATGAAAAATATGTAGTATAATAAAGTATGGGTTGATAAAAAAAATATAAGGTTCGCACTGGCTGTTGTAACAATGGCCGATTGTTGCGTGTTCCATGATACTGTACTTCAACAACAGATTTCTGCAGCCGGCTTATCTGAAAAACGGACATGCTCTAGAAAACTGGAGCCTCTCTATGCTTCAGGTGACTGTTCGGGATCCTAAAATTTTGAGTCAGCGGGATGGGATCCTAAATTTGCGAGTCACCTAAATTTACAGGTGACCGTGCGGAATCTCGCCCCCCCTGAGGAGGAATCCGCTGACAGCTGGCAGGCAGGCTAGCTCACGGTGGAAGGAGGGACAAATGGTGCACAGTGCAAGGATGTGACAGCAGCACGCGCTGTCACTGCCTCATGCTGAAGAACCTACTAGCGCACTCGTGCACTGTCCCTCCCCAATGCACGACAGCCCATGTGAGCAGAAGGTTGCTTGGGTCTTCCACAGGCATGTGTCAAGGATGTTGGTTACGAGTATTTCTCGCAGGCACTTGAGAGGATATGGAGAGGCAACGCACCCCCCATCCACCCCCAGGCATCTCCGAGTTGAGAGCGTGGAGCAGCGTCCAAGGAACCAAGTGACCGGCGTCCCCAGCAGTCCCGTGGAGGTGTGGCACAGGGATCATGCTGGGCGCGCTTGAGGGGCGGGTGGTGGCGGCGGTGGCAGGTGCGCGGTGGGCATGCGGGGGAAGTCAGGCGCCACCTCCATGTGCTGCTCCGGCTGCCCTCCCGCCATGGGTGGTGGGGTGGTGGGCGCATGGCATGGATGGGGATGATGGGGGTGCGCACTCATGGGTGGACGAGGTGCGCGGAAAGGGTGGTTGCGAACGAGGGGAGGACGGTAGTGAGCAGAGGGCGGGAGCGGGGGAGCGAGGGGGGCGTGAGGAGTACCTGCAGGAGGGCGAGGAGTACCTGCAGGAGGGCGAGGAGTACCTGCAGGAGGGTGAGGAGGGCGGCGAGCAGCGAGTTGAGCAGCACGACGAGGCAGAACACCTTGCCCGCCACCACCCCACACGCGTAGTACCTGCCGGCAGCACCATGGGAGGGCGGCAGCATGGGAGGGCGGCAGCATGGGAGGGCGGCAGCATGGGAGGGCGGCAGCATGGGAGGGCGGCAGCATGGGAGGGCGGCAGCATGGGAGGGCGGCAGCATGGGAGGGCAGCACAAGTGCAACATGGGAAGGTGTTCAGTCATGCGGGATCCAGTGGGGCAGATTGGGGAGTGCAGCGAGTGTGAGGTGGGACGTAACGTGCGAGGCACAGCTCAGGCAGTGGAGCCCTCTCCAGTGACAGCAAGCCAGGGAGAGGCGTGACGGCGGAGGAGAGAGAGGCGGTGCATGAGCGCACCTGGAGAGGCGGGTGGGCACACCTGGAGAAGCGGGTGGGCACCTGGAGAGGCGGGTGGGGACCTGGAGAGGCGGGTGGGCGCACCTGGAGAGGCGGGTGGGCGCACCTGGAGAGGCGGGTGGGCGCACCTGGAGAGGCGGGTGGGCGCACCTGGAGAGGCGGGTGGGCGCACCTGGAGAGGCGGGAGGGCGCACCTGGAGAGGCGGGTGGGCGCACCTGGAGAGGCGGGAGGGCGCACCTGGAGAGGCGGGAGGGCGCACCTGGAGAGGCGGGTGGGCGCACCTGGAGAGGCGGGAGGGCGCACCTGGAGAGGCGGGTGGGCACCTGGAGAGGCGGGTGGGCGCACCTGGAGAGGCGGGTGGGCGCACCTGGAGAGGCGGGTGGGCGCACCTGGAGAGGCGGGAGGGCGCACCTGGAGAGGCGGGAGGGCGCACCTGGAGAGGCGGGTGGGCGCACCTGGAGAGGCGGGAGGGCGCACCTGGAGAGGCGGGAGGGCGCACCTGGAGAGGCGGGTGAGCGCACCTGGAGAGGCGGGTGGGCAGGTCGTCCAGTGGCATGGCCATGACCCGGTCGTACACGCGCTCCGTGCGCTCCGCCACGTCATGCCAGCTGTACATGCGCGACACCTGCCCGCCCCATGCGTGGGTGGGGAGGCGGTGCAAACAGGAGATGCGTGTGGTGGAGGGCAGTGGGGTGGGGGACAGCGGGGTGGGGGGCAGCGGAGTAGGGGGCGCATGGCAGGTGCGTGTGGGAGGGGCGTTGGGGGGAAAGGATGCGGATGTGCAAAGTAGTGAGTCGTGGTGGTCAAGGCAGCAGTGTGTGAGGCATGCACGGTGAGGCAGGAGGCATGCACGGTGAGACAGGAGGCATGCACGGTGAGACAGGAGGCATGCACGGTGAGACAGGAGGCATGCACGGTGAGACAGGAGGCATGCGCATGCGGGGCAAAGTGCGATATGGCAGCAGCGAGAAGGGTGGAATGAGAGATGAAGAGGTGGATGAGACACAGCGCCATGGCGCCCTGACAGCAACCTGGAGGTGCCACCAAGGGGACCACGCAGTCTGCTGCAGCAGAGAGGGCGCGGCACTGAGTGCGGCACAAACGCCATGGCAAGGCGTGGAAGGCGCTGATCTGAACAAGAGTCAATTCCGAAAGGTTATTCTGACAAGTGTCAAGAATGAGCGTGGGACACGGGGAGGCGGTGGAAGGACTGCAGTGGGTGGGATGGCGTGGCGGTTGCGACAACGCACGCACCCGCTCGTGCATGGCCTGCGGGTTGACACGTGGCACGATCTGAATGGCCTGTGCGATGGCGTCCACGATGTCAGGCGGGTTGGGGTCCGCCAGCAGCATCATGTCCGGGGGTAGCACCTGGGGGGGGGGGGAGGACAGGGGGAGGGGGGGGAGGGGGGGGAGGGGGTTGCGGACGTTGGGGCATGGGGACGGCAGCAGGCGGGGTGGGATCTGGCAGCAGCATCATGTGTGGTTCGCGTGATAACATAAGAGGAAAGGTCACATGGTTGGCACATGGTAACGCGTGCGCACAACTTATGGTGCGTTAGAAGCAAGCATGCGGACATCCATGGGCAGGGAAGGAGCGGGCGGGAGGGAGACGAATGCGAGGGAGCAGAGGGAGGAGAGTGTGGGAGAAAGGAGGGCAAGGTATGGAAAGGCAAGAGTTGACTGCACTCTCGTTGCAGGCTGCTCACACACACACACCTTTCACCACCCATGTGCATCCCACCCACCACAACCACCCGTGGGCCCTCACCTCTCCTCCCCTCCCTCACCGCACCTCACCTCACCACACCACCCCTCACCGCACCTCGGGCACGCCGCCAACACGCGTGGCGACAACGAAGAGGCCGCAGCAGGCGGCCTCGAGGATGGCGATGCAGAAGGCCTCCGTGAGCGAGCTGGGGGGGGAGGGGTGAGGGCATGGGGCGGGCAGGTGGGGAGTGAGAGGGGCACGGTGGGTACGAAAGAGCGAGGGGTGAGGCACGGCACGACATGCAGCGTTGAGCAGCGTGCGTGCGTTGAGAGGGATGGATGGGCAAGGGGGAGGACGGAGGTTGAGGAAAGAGTGAAGATGAGGGGAGAGGAGAGGGAAGTGAGTGGGAAAATTGATGAACAAATGCGTAGGGGCGGTGCAGAGGGCGAGATAGGGGCGGTGCAGAGGGCGAGATAGGGGCGGTGCAGACGGCGAGATAGGGGCGGTGCAGAGGGCGAGATAGGGGCGGTGCAGAGGGCGAGATAGGGGCGGTGCAGAGGGCGAGATAGGGGCGGTGCAGAGGGCGAGATAGGGGCGGTGCAGAGGGCGAGATAGGGGCGGTGCAGAGGGCGAGATAGGGGCGGTGCAGAGGGCGAGATAGGGGCGGTGCAGAGGGCGAGATAGGGGCGGTAGAGGGCTGTGAGGAGAGAGGTGGGTGCGAGGTGACAGCGGCGAGATGAGGAGAATGGTGATAACAACGAAGAGAGAGAGGAAAAACAGATTGGTGTTGGATGGAAAAGTACGAGAATAATGCAGAAGCGATGTGGTGCAACTGGGATGTGCAGGGAGGGCGTGGGCTTTTCGAGGGGGGGGCGGGGCTGACATGCACCTTCTTGTCATCAGCAGCTGCGCGCACAGCATGCGGACGAGCGCTCGTACGGGGCGATGAGGGGGAAGGGGAGGGAGGGGAGGGAGGGGAGGGAGGGGAGGGAGGGGAGGGAGGGGAGGGAGGGGAGGGAGGGGAGGGAGGAGCGGGCACCTGTTGAGGAAGATGTGGCCCTGCACGAGGACGTGGCGCACTTGGGAGTGCGGCACGGCGCCCAGCATGGTGACTCGGTGGTGCAGCCCGTGGCGGTCCCTCATCTCCTCCAACCGCCCCCTCTTGGCACCATCGCCGCCTATTATCCACCGCACCTGGTGTGTGATGGGTGGGGCACGGCACATACACATGCACACGCACACATGCGCACACACACATGCGCACACACACACACATGCGCACACACACACACACACACATGCGCACACACACACACATGCGCGCACACACACACATGCGCGCACACACACACACACACATGCGCACACACACACACATGCGCACACACACACACACATGCGCACACACACACACACACATGCGCACACACACACACATGCGCACACACACACACATGCGCACACACACACACACACATGCGCACACACACACACATGCGCACACACACACACACACACACATGCGCACACACACACACATGCGCACACACACATACATGCGCACACACACACAGGCACAGGCGCACCTACGCATGCGCACACACGCATGCGCACACACGCATGCGCACACACTCATGCGCACACACTCATGCGCACACACTCATGCGCACACACACATGCGCACACCCACATGCACCCACACACACAGACACAGGCAGCACACACACAAGCACGCACACACTCACGCACGCAAACACACGCACATGCACACACAGAGCATGTTCAAAGAGAAGGCACTATAGCAGAGTGACTGTATGCGAGTGGCCATCATGCACACAGGCGAGCAGCAGCGAGCAGGCAAGCCCGGTCAGTCGCTATGAGCAGCAGCATGCTCACCTTGGGGAAGCGGTGGCACCTTGGGGAAGCGGTGGCACCTTGGGGAAGCGGTGGCACCTTGGGGAAGCGGTGGCTCCTTGGGGAAGCGGTGGCACCTTGGGGAAGCGGTGGCACCTTGGGGAAGCGGTGGCACCTTGGGGAAGCGGTGGCACCTTGGGGAAGTGGTGGCACCTTGGGGAAGCGGTGGCACCTTGGGGAAGCGGTGGCAGACGGCGGGGATGACGTCAACGAGCAGGTCAGCGCCCTTGCGGTACACGAGGCGGCTGATCACCACTATCGTCACCTCCATGCCCCCGCCCGCCCCCGCGCCTTCCCCTTGTCTCATGTCCGTACCACCAGCCCCCTTGCTCGCCTCCACGCCACTCCCCGTGCTGCCTGCCATGTCCCTCCCTGCCTCCACGGCCATGCTGCTGTGCCCGTGCCCCCCTGGTCCTCCCGCCCCCACCCTCCCCACCACCTCAGCCGCCGGGGGGTGTGCCGTGCTGGCTGCTGTCTCCGCCTCCGCCCCTTCTCTGCTCCACGCTCCGTCCCTTGCCCCTCCCTCACTCGCCGCCGCCTCCCCTCTCGCCCCCGCCCCCACTGCCTCTCTGCACCCCACTGCCCCCCCTGGCCCACCTTCTGCTTCTCTCCCCTCCACTGCACGTGCTGCTGCCTCACCGCCTGCAGCCCTGCACGCCACAGCACCCCCCCTATCCTCCGCATTCCCCCTATGCTCCAAACCTCCTTCTCCATCCTCCCCTGCTGCTCTCCCTCCTGCCCTGTCGTTGCGCACTGCACGAGCGGCAGCGGCAGCTCCCCCATCGGCAGCAGAAGCAGCTTCCCCGGCAGCAGCGGGGGCAGGGGGGGGCGGGGGGCAGCGGCGGGGGTCGGGGAGGAAGTTGTTGGCGTCCACGGCGTTGGGGATGACGGCCACGCGGTGCGGCGGCAGCGAGGGCTGCGCGCGCAGTACCGTGTTCTCCTTGCTCGTGTGCGACACACATATGGCCGCGTGGATGCCCGCCGTTGAGAACTGCAGCAGCTGTGGGGGAGGGGACGGGGGGAGGAGGAGGAGCAAGGGGGCAGGGGGAGGGAAAGGGGAGGGGAGGATACGAGGAGAGAGAAAGGCAGGAGGCAGAAGAGGAGGTGGTGAAGTGCACAGCGTGAGTGCACAGCGTGAGTGCACAGCGTGAGTGCACAGCGTGAGTGCACAGCGTGAGTGCACAGCGTGAGTGCACAGTGTGAGTGCACAGCGTGAGTGCACAGCGTGAGTGCACAGCGTGAGTGCACAGCGTGAGTGCACAGCGTGAGTGCACAGCGTGAGTGCACAGCGTGAGTGCACAGCGTGAGTGCAGCCTCCATCGACGCTTCGACGCTTACCCCCCACGCACCCACCCATCCATCCACCCACCCATGCACTCCCCCCCTTCCCCCCCTCTCTCCCCCCCCCCCCTCGGCGCACCTTGTTCATGTGGATGCTGGCGGCGCACCTTGTTCATGTGGATGCTGGCGGCGTCAGCGAAGCCGCACAGCGAGTGGTCGGTGAAGACGGCGCGGCGGGCGAGCGTGGGGGCGTGCAGCAGCGCGTCGTGGCACATGGGGGCGAAGCTCTGGTGCGCGTGCACGATGGCGATGCGCTCGCGCTCCACTATGGCGCGGAACAACGGCAGCGACAGACAGGGGAGGGGTGACGGGGGCGTCGCCTGCCGTGCGATTGGGGGGGGGGGGAAGAGGAGGGTAGGTGGGAAGGGGGAGTGGATGGGAGCAAGGAGGGGAAACAGAATCGGTTGTGTAAAGTGGTGCCTGTGCACGCAGGAGCGGAGAGAGACAGGAAAGGGGGGATCAAATCGCAGGCTAAGCTGAGCTGGTGTTAAGGATGGGGATGGGGAATGGGGGATGGGGAATGGAGGAGGGTTAAGGGGCAAACGACTTGGTTCCAAGGATGTGTAAGAGAGAGTCATGCCGCCACACGGCTCTCACCTGTAGCCACACGGGGCGGCGCGGCGCATAGTAGACCTTGAGGCCGTTGGTGAGGTAGCGCACTCCCACTCGGTCGCCGTACGCGTGCGTCAGCACCACCACCTGCGGCAGGGCAGGGCAGGGCAGGGAGGGGTTGAGGCGTGTGGCGCAGCGACGGTACGGCTGTGATTCTTGTACCCGTAAGAGCGCAAGTCATTCCGTTGGCATGGCGGCAAGGTGGCATTGGGCATGCGCATGCACTTGCCACTCGCTGACACCCCCTCCCGCACAGCTGCTCTGGGACGTGCGCAAGCCCATGACGGCTCATCTCGTCCACGCCCATCCCCACCTCCACCTCCACACCTCGCGCCTCAATCCCACCTCCTTCCTGCCCGCGCCGCAAAGGCACACCCTCCCCTTCATGCACCACACGCTCTACGCCCGCCATCCTCCCAGTCACTCACTGGCACGCAAGACTCGAGACCTAACGGCTGCGTCACCTGGGCGCCTCGCGTCGTCACCTTGTGGCCGCGCTGCAGGAGGCACTGCGCGAGGAGGTAGATGTGGCTCTCCACGCCGCCGAAGTTGGGGAAGAAGAAGTCGCACACCATCAGCACGCGATGTCGCCTGCGACCGCATGCGACATCGGGTTCATCGTCAGAGCCCAAGAGCGTGCTGCTTTTATTCACGGGACTGCTTCCCGCCATTCGACTTGGCGATTAATTCTGCCTACGGCTTGCGACTCGTTTCTCCGAGGGCTCGCGGGGCTCGCGCCTCGTTTCGCCTACGACCCAGCCCTGGGAGCGGTCCGCGAATGCGGGAAGGTCCGTAGCTAGATGGTATTGCGAACGACGACCGTCGTGAAGGCGAAGAACTGTTGCATGGAAGCATTAGGTTGGCAGAAGCCTAGGCTTGTTTGTATTGTTGACCGTTCGACAGAAATCAATGGGAAAATTGCCTTTACTCAATAAAAGGTGTAGAGGAGGAGTCTGTAATAATTTAGCTACTATTGCAGACGAAGCTCTCCATGCTCCGCAAATGTGGTGCCACGCAGACGTCGAGATTTCGCTACTGGAACGTTTCCCACCAGAATCTCAACCAATCATGACCCGAGCACGAGTCAGCAACCGAGCCGCCATGAATTCACAGCCTGTTCCATGCCCCAGCTGACACAACGAATGACATTTCCCAAGGAGGGCCAAAGCAAAGCAGGGAGTGGAGGAGGATTCGCAGCAGAGGAGCAATCCAGGTTCGAGGTTCCATGGCTCGAGTGTCGAGTCCAGCAGCCAACTGGAGAGCTTTCAGCAAGGAGCAAGCTTCAGTGCTTCCGGCATTCTCAGTGTTCCACGGCAGCGAGCTTCCAACAACCCATGGCGTGCTGGCGCGTCCGGGAATGGAGCACCCACCTCTCTGGGGGCCTCTGCCACCACCCTCCTGTGGTTGGGCACCGTGCCCCCTTGTGCGACCCTTTTAACCCGCCCTTCTTGCTCACAGCGTTGTTACCGCAACCCAAGCGCACCCAAAACGCACTCAACGGACCGTCGGAGCCTGAGAGGCTCTCCGTCCCCTCCACCGCACGCTCACCGCCGCACGGCTGAGAGACGTCGATACCGCGTCACCTCCTTGACTCGCATCGCACTCTCCTTGCCGCGCATCCCGCGTTGCCATGGAGCTCTCTCAGGCCTCGGGTGCCGCCACGTGCACGGCCGTCGTGGTGACGTCAGCGCTCGTCGCTGCAGGAGTCGCCGCGTTCTCCAGCGGGGCGCTCTCGCGCACCGCGACGAGCGCGACTGCGGGCGAGAGGAAGGAGGCTACTAATTCCCGTTCCGACGCGGCTTCCGCGAAAGCGTCCAAGGCGATGGACGGCGTTGTGCCGTGGCTGCCCGCGGAGATCGCGACGTCGTTCGATGACTTCCCCTTCTTCCTCAAGTCAGCCGCTTTCCCCTCGTGCCATTCGCAAGTGATTTTTCCGCAAAGCAAGGCGTTGAATCTGACTCACGTTCCTGTGTCGCCTCGCAGCAAGAAGACTCGCGAGCTTCTCACGGCGTCGGCCGGGAGGACGTTCCTTAGCGAGGGCGCTTCGAAGCGCTCCCACTCCATCACCGTGCGAGGCCCCGAAGGTATCCCTCCAACTCGCCGCAGATCGGAGCCTTTTCTGTGCTTGTCGTGTGCTCCTGCTCTATCTTGTATCATTTCGACCGCGTGGCGACAGAGTGCCTGACGAGCAGCGGGTGTGCGGTGTGGTGCAGGGTCGGTGCGATACCAGGCGGAGCTGTGCAAGGGGCTCGCCAAGAAGTTCGACGCCGCGCTGTTCATCCTCGACGCCTCCTTCGTGCACCTCATCTCGCAGGTGCATGGTTGGTTCTTTCTCGCAGCGCCGTTGTATGTGACAAAACTTTTTTTTACGCATGAAGCTGCAAAGCTGATCGTCCGTGTTTGCGTGGCAGAGCTCGTACTGGCGGGGTGCGTCGAGCAGCCGCAGCAAGCCCGCGATTTGGACTGGAGGTGAGCATTCGGCTGCTGGATCACCTTGTGGGTGTGGGTGGTCGGTACAACCGTTTCTATGTTCTGGATGAATCCCGAGTCTGCTGCTTGACATGAATCGCGTCATCGTCATGGCAGGATCCGGCTTCGCCTACTTCACGGAGAAAGGGGATGCAGCTGCCACGCTGCAGGTGTGCTCCAGTCAGCTCTCGCGTTGAAGGCCGATCCGTGCCACCTGCTGGAAACAGGAAATGTTTCTTAACGCGTCCTTGTTTCTTCTACAGGCTATCTCGAAGGCCTCTCGTGCGCGCCCAGTGATCTGCCTGGTGGCGTGCGCGGATGGCTGTGCGGCAGCGCTGGCCCAGACCCTGGCGAAGCGGGTGGACGGCCCCCACGGCGTGCTCGTCGTTGCCTCCTGCACTGCCGCCTGCGAGGTGAGCCCAGCAGCTCCGCGAATCTGCTTTCATTCGTCTTTTTGTTTCCTGTGGATGGATGCCTGCTCACTCTAACCATGCGTGTTGATCTGCGCAGGACGTGCATGCAGCATCCTACTCCGACGTGGAAGTGCGAGCTCCCAAGGTACGCCTGCAAGCTGAGTGGATTTCTCATCATCAAGCTGACAGTGTCTCAGGGCGCACTGACGAGTGGGTGTAATGATGATGCTTGCAGGAGAGTGAGAAGGTGCGGGCGTGGGAGGCGATGCTCAAGGAGCAGAGTCACTACATGGTGTGCGAGCGGAACCTGCAGGCCATCTTCCTCGTGCGTGCCGCTTCTGCTCGTATTCGCTTTTCACATCATTCGTGCTTCTCAGAGGTGCTGGTACTCGTGCAACTAACCTGACGTTTGTCATACCTCTCTCTCTGTGAATGCAGGCGCTCAAGGCCCGCAAGGTGACGTGGGACGAGGACGTTGCAGACGCGCGGTTCAACTTCACCGCCTCCCTCGCTCCCCATGGTACGCTGCGCTGCTCACCGTGCTCTCACATGTACCTCTTGCCCCACTCACGAGTGAGCTCCTTGGATCGCTTCTGACGTGTGCTTGGTGTGCGTGCGTGGGCGTGGGCGTGCAGAGGTGCAGGACATCATCAACATGGCCCTGTCGGAGCAGATGCTTGCCGGCCGCACCAACGCACAGCTGCACGTCACACGAGACAGGTGCGCTGCTCTCTACTTCACGCATTCACGCTGCCCATCCGTGGCTATGGCACCACACTCAACAGCGTCTGGCATTGTGCGTGCGTGCAGGTTGGAGTATTCTTTGAGTCTCTTCTTCGATGAAGACGGTGCATGCCATGAGAAGACAGCCGTCACCAACGGCCAGGTACCTACCATTTGCGCACATGTAGATGCTCATGTAGATGCTCACTCCGTCATTTGTTCATACTTTCACAGCACGCTGACTCTTTGTTGCGCGTGCAGGTGGTGCAGGGCAAGGAGCCAGTGGCGGTGCACAAGGCGGTGCTGCGCGTGGGCATCCCCAAGGGCGACGAGGGCGGGGGCTCCAAGGTGGGCACGCCCAGGGCCGACGCGGTGAGGACGCCCCGGGCAGCGGACGCACTTGCTGCCAAGCTCGCCTCTCCCAAGGTGGCCACGCCCAAGAAGCCAGCTCCAGCCCCTGCCCCGGCAGCAGCCTCTGTAAGGCCACAACCACTCTGCATCATGCTGGCAGCTCTCTTGAACGACAATGCTTTGGGCTGACACTGGTTCTTCATGTTGTGTTTCTTCCACGGTGTGCTGTGCGGGGGGCAGGACGACAACGACTTTGAGAAGCGCATTCGCCCGGAGATCCTGGCGCCGGGGAGCATTGGAGTGACGTTTGAGTCGATCGGAGCGCTGGAGAGCGTGAAGGAGTCGCTGCGAGAGCTGGTGCTCGTGCCGCTCAAACACCCCGAGATCTTCAACAAGGGCGGCCTGCTGCAGGTGAGCGCGCACTCTGCACGTTGAGCGCTTCTGCAGGTGTTCTTCCCCTTCTTTCAATTGCGATTTTTATGTGTTGAGCGCTTCTGACGCACGCCGCTTCCCGGTGGTGGCAGGCGTGCAAGGGCATTCTGCTGTTCGGCCCGCCGGGCACGGGCAAGACGATGCTGGCCAAGGCGGTGGCCACGGAGTGTGGGGCGAGCTTCATCAACGTGTCCATGTCTACAATCACCTCCAAGGTCAGTGCCTCGTTGAAGGATTATTTTTTGTAATGCGGTTCTGGTTTCGCCATCTAATTGCGGCGTGGTGCATGCATGGCGTGCAGTGGTTTGGCGAGGATGAGAAGAACGTGAGGGCGCTGTTCACCCTGGCGGAGAAGGTGGCGCCCACCGTCATCTTCATTGACGAGGTGCGCACTCACGCTCCTCATGCACTCACGCTCCTCATGCACTCACGCTCCTCATGCACTCACGCTCCTCATGCACTCACGCTCCTCATGCACTCACGCTCCTCATGCACTCACGCTCCTCATGCACTCACGCTCCTCATGCACTCACGCTCCTCATGCACTCACGCTCCTCATGCACTCACGCTCCTCATGCACTCACGCTCCTCATGCACTCACGCTCCTCATGCACTCACGCTCCTCATGCACTCGCGCATTCATTCATTCACCAGCCCTCGTCTCGCCGTCACACTCATCGGCTCTTCAAGTGGTTTTGTTTCTGTTCTTGGTTCACATTGATCGTTTCGCATGCTGTGGTGGCAGGTGGACAGCATGTTGGGGCAGCGCAAGGGGGCGGGGGAGCACGAGGCGATGAGGAAGATAAAGAACGAGTTCATGACGCATTGGGACGGGCTGGCCTCCAAGGCGGGCAGCCGTGTGCTCGTGCTCGCCGCCACCAACCGCCCCTTCGACCTCGACGAGGCCATCATCCGCCGCTTCCAGCGCCGGTCAGTCCATTGGCTGTTTTCATGTTTGTTCATTCTTTTACAATTTATGTACTTGTTACCTCTTGAGACTATAATGTCTACTTTTTTTTGGCATGATGTATTATCCGCATCTCTTTGTCCTTGGCCTATTTCTTGTCCTCGTTATTGGCTGCTGCAGCATCATGGTGGGGCTGCCGGACGCGGACAACAGGGAGCTCATTCTGCGCTCCATCCTCAAGCACGAGCAGGTGGACGCTGACGTGGACTATTGTGAGCTCGCGCAGCTCACTGAAGGCTTCTCAGGGAGTGACCTCAAGGTGATTCTCCGTGTGTGACTGGCCGTAGGCTGTTGTGCACATTCTGTTATTTTCCTC